TGGCTCGCGGGGCTCAAAATGGGCCGCTACGTTGAATTCAACACTCTGAGCCACCGTTCACCCTTTATTAGTAGTGGAAATCGCACTTAACTGTCCAAAACGAATCACTTCAACGTGTAAAAGCTATCCGTGGTTAATGCACAGGGGATAAATCTGTTACCCGCACCACATAATATAGACTAGTTGACCGACTATATAATATATTATGGTAGGTACAGTGAATTTACTATCGAAAAGCAAAACATTATTTGAGCCGTCGATGGATAATTGTAAGATTTTAATAAATTTCGTCGACCGGGAGAACATCAAAATCGTCTCAATACCTATACCTTGGGGTTTAATGAAATGAGCGAAATCGAGACGAAGGTTATTTAAAATTGAAATAATATGTATAGGATTGATATCGCGACGTCCGCACAAAAACTAAATGTTCGATTTCGTCGAGTAAACTGCATATCGCATAATATTTAGAATTTGGCAGAGGAATAAAATTATATATATGCAATATATGCAATATAAACGGTTTTAACACCTAACCTGTGTTATGAATTTATTACCATACAATAAAATATGGGTTCACCGTCCCCGGGTTCTTGTCCAAACAAAAATTTAAAAAAAAAGACCAAATCGTCTAACCCGATTCACTGTCGACGGCCGAGTAAACATTACTGAATATCCCCGAGCCAAGAATTTTTCCGAGCTCAAAACGGTTCCCGATGTCCGGCAAGTCGTTCACGTCCAGTCGGTCGGCGCCGAGTTTCATTGTGCGGCCGTCTTCCATGGCGCGACAGCGTAGATCCTGCGCCCGTCCTCTAGTTTCCGGTTCCGGTCTATTGACGAAAACTGCAAGTGTTGTGTGATGTGCGCGCGCGTTGTTCAACGAATCCTGGGGAAAACTGACAGAGACGAATTATTTTGTAATATTAATTTATTGTTGTTTAATGCACACGGGCACGGTGACCGGACCGCGTTCGGAGCTCACCCGGTGTGTTTAGTGTACGGCAGACGGACTACTGTTACGATATCGCGTATTGTATAGTTATGATGTTTAACGTTACAATATTGCTATGACATATTAAAATGTGCCGTGGTCTGATGCCGAACTAAAGCGTCCTCACGTCCTCCGGTCACTACTATATAATATGGTTTAAAAGCAGGGATTATACACGGAAACCGTACGAACGTTTTCGCCAACGTTGACATAATTCGATTATGGGTAGGTACGTATACTTATGTTCCGAACAACAACACCGCACCACGTATCTATAGTATCTTTTGACCCTCGTTTACATATATATATATATATATATCGAAGTAACAGCTAAACGTCAAGACTGTGTACGATTGCTGTATATAGGAAGTTAGAGGTAGGTAACCGATTCTTTGAAGACCTCTCGATATATTATTTTAATACGTATACTGGCGGCGACCGAATAATATGCGAGCTCTCGATGTCCGATGCACGCAATGCGCGTAATATTGTTAAATTATTGCGATGATATTATTATTATATCATATCACAGACAGTTATGAGGACATTTTCGACGGTATTACTGACCATCGCTCAAGGTAGAAATAATTAAATATCTACCTATAATGTACAGCGATTGAGCGGTAGAATAATTATTATAATACAGACGAATTCTATGAGATCCGATAAAAATATATGAAAATGAAAAACGTGAACAAGTTGTAGTGTGTCCATTAGTTTAGTGTACAGATGAGTGGGTAATTATACGCAGGTACTGAATTTTATATAATTATAATATTATAATACATTATTATATTAGTTATCAACTCAATTTTACTGCAAAGAGATTTTAATGTTGTATTTATGAAGTGTAATAGTCATAAAAAGGATTTCATAATTATTTTTACAATAGATTCTACAGATTTTACAAAGTGTGTTTATATTTCTTTATTTTTGTGACTGAACTCTGAATATACACTATTTTTCTACTAGAAAGAAATTATTTGATGATTGTATTAACAACTTTAACGAAGATTTATGGTATAAAATTAGATCTAGTTGGTACTTTAAAAAGATTAAAATTGAAAATCTTCGATTGCTACCTATTTTTTTAAATGATCAGGAAAAAAAATACAAATATTTGATTTAATTATAATTTTGTTGCGAAATAATTGTTTGATAATTTTGGTTACCTACCGAAATGTTAAAAGGTTAACGCTCATTTTTCTTTTATCAAACATACTCCGCGGCAGCTATGGCCATTGGATTGACATTATTTATATCAATTAATGTCAAAATGTCAACAACAATAAAACCTTTAAACGCTAAAAATAAGAGAATTAGAGAGTGGATGACTGCTGGCCGTCTCTGCTCGGTGCAAATTAAAAACAATTTTCTACAAACGTTAAAAAATACCCAGATAATTTTAGACTCGCTAAGTATTATAATAAATATAAAAATAAATTAACTACTGTGATTCGGACTGCAAAGACTAATTACAATAAAAATAAATTTCAGGAGGTTTCGTTTAATCCAAAACTCACTTGGAAGTTAATAAATGAGATCTTAGATAAGAATGATAATAAGAACGATGATGTTAAATGTATTAAATTAGATGATAAAACTTTCGATGTCAAAAATAAGCCACTCAACATTGCAAATATTTTTAACGATTTCTTTATAAATATTGGTAACAKCCTAACTTGGAATATTGAGGAGTCAACTTATAAGTTTGAGGAGAACATTACTCCTATATCTTTTAACAGTAGTTTCAATGAAAACCTTAAAGAAACTGATGTTCGATTAATTATAAATAAACTTAAAGATGATACTGCTGTGGCCAGGTTTGGGAACGGAAAATGCTTTATATAGCGCAACACAATTTATAAATAACGCTTTAGACAACAGTAAGAAAGTTTTAGTGGTTTTTCTTGATTAGTCCAAAGCATTTGATACATTTAATCATAAAAAATTAATTAAAATTTTACCTCATTTTGGTATTACTGTAAAAAACTTAAATTGGTCACAAGTTGTTTAGAAAACAGAAAGCAAACAGTTCGTATTACTGGCGTTGATCTATCTATAAACTGCGGTGTTCCTCAAGAAGTGTTTTAGGACCCCTCTTATTTATTTTGTACATTAATCAAATATGTAATTTGGATATTGACGGAATAACAGTAACATATGCAGATGACACTTGCTTACTCTATTGTGGAGATTTTTAGGGCGATGTTAGTACTAAAGCAATCAAGAATCCAAAATTGTTGTGGAATTTCTAAAACTTAGAAGTCTATCTATCAATTTAAAAAAAAACTATGTTTATGAACTTCTCGATAAATAATGTTAAAGATAATTTTGATGAACTTGTGTTACATTTCTGTGAAGATGGAACTTTGTGTAATGGCACAGTTTGTCAAAAATTATTTCGAGTATCTAGTACCCGATATCTAGGCTTAACGTTGACAATCACCTGAGATGGAATCTTCATGTGAATAACATAGTCATGCGTCTTTGAAGTCTAAATTACAGTTTCTATAAGCTACGTAAAATTATATCTGTTCATGACATGATAACTGTATATTTAGCTCTATATCAAGAAATTTCTCAATATGGTCTGTTAATTTGGGGAGGACTCTCGGATAACGCTCTAAAACCTTCATTGCGTCATCAACGTCAGATAGTGGGACATGCGTCTACAAAAAAGAAAATATGTTGGATCAACTAAGCATAACTTTAGGGAGCTCAATGTATTACCAGTTAACCTTTTATTCAAAAAAATTGCTATTTTGTGGGTGGTTAAACACCTAGATCAGTGGGTTGACAAAAATGTATTCAGTAAAAAAGAGCTCTTCGTTCATTTGATGCTAAAACATCACTTTTTTAAAAAATCAGTTGGCCAAAAATTTGTTGATTATCTTGGTCTTATTTATTTTAATTATATACCATTCTCTATAAAGAAAAATGTTAATATTAATTATAATTATAATAACGCTAAAAATTAATTGTTTAATGGCTGCGTGTATCGTTAAATGTACCTTAGATTTAACTTTATGATATTATGTTCTCTTTTTTTCTATTTTGTATAACTACGCAATAATTGTGTTTTAATTTATTTTTATTTTAAGCATATTATGTAACAATTGTAACTCTCTACCTTTGCCAGAAGCTGAGCGTACAGAAGATAGGTAAATCAAATTTATATATTAATGTTAATTATTATTTATTATACATTATGATACAATGTGTGATTGAAAGACTCATATTATATTAAAGATAGACAAATACCTAAATTGTATTTATTAGTTTTGAATCATAAATAAATTCAAGATATATTTTACGTTGCTTGGGCCATGGTTCAGTAACTCAGAAACCTGAGCTGACAGGCCTGCATCTTTTCTATCATTTTCATAGCTCCAGCATTCCAAAAGGATGTGTTTGACGGTTAAAGGCGTACCGCAGCTGATGCAAACTGGAAGATCTTCTGACTTCTCTGAATATGAGGTGTTGGTGGGTGACATGAGTGTGCACTATCTGGAGACGGGCGATGGCGGTCTGTTTCCTATAAAATCATTTTTTATCGTCTATAAAGTTTTGAAATTTGATTCAACAACATATTTTACATAAAAACAATATGGATGCCTAGCGTTTTTTTATTTATTTGTCGATTATCAATTATCGAAAATAATGATTATTACCTTCTTATGCACCTATTTTTACGCACGGATGAAACAAAAATGATTCGGCGAGTTTGTTGTCATTAGGTAATAGGTATATTGAAAAGGTATTTGTCAATAATATAGGTTCAACACGAGTAACATAATCCTACTGCAGTTATGTTATTTTTCTTCATATTGTTGTCGTTGAATCCAGTCTGATCTTTTAAGCAAATACAGAATGACTAGTAGTTGACTTAGGCGGTCTTTAGCTTTCATTTTGTTTGGCATGGTATTTCACATGTTTACGAGACTACGGCTAACCTTCTTGTCCACTTGTACCGACCACACTTGTCCGCGCCTACCACAACAGATTTTTTGATTTTTTTTCCTTCTCCTCTCGACCGAGTTATGTGTCAACAAAAGAAATAAAACAAAATCCATTCCACGCGCATTAAGAAACATAATATAGGTACCGACGACTTTTACTCAAACATACAAAACAAAGACGGACAATACGTATTGAGTTATGTCACGTTGTCGTATTTAATAACATATAGGTAGTATACCTACAATGACTGAGTCAATAAATGCCTTTCGATTTTTACAATAAGTATTTTTTACAAATATAAATTAATGGATTATTTAAATTTTATTTTTTTTATTGTTTCACATTAGTTTGGTAATGTTTTTTTCGAATAAATGAAACTTATATTTATTAAATATAAAATCTTTTCTATCCTGCATTTATTTATTTAATATTATTTATTTATTAACATCGCAGATATAAAGTTGTTTTTTCATATCTAAGAGTTTAGTTTAATTAAAAAGTTTGCAACTAGAACGTACTTTAAATTCTACAAATATGTTTAATGTTATAAACGCAAATATAATATTATAATAAAAAAGAGTAAGAAAATCCGGTATACATCATATTTGATGTATTTCAATTCACGACTATTCAAACACGACTTGACAAAAAATAAAAATTTAAAAAATAAATAATTTAAACAAACAGATAAGTTTCATTTACATAAGACAATTATAAATTTAAAAAAAAACCAAGAGACTTACAATTTTTGTCAGTGATGTAAGTTGAGTTTGACTGCTTATTTCGTGTTTAAGACGTTCACGAAAAAAAAAAACATAAATAATGACAAAAAATATTCTATTTTTCATCTTTTACTATCAGATTGGTTATGTTTATTAATTATGACTTATGGATTTTTCAATAAAATTAAGTATAATTTTACTTATAGCTTTAAATCTTGGGACTCGTAAAAAAATATCGATGAGAAATTATTTGAATTTTACTTGTAAATTATTCGGAATTCAACGGAATATTGTTGAAGTCTATAGTTTTATGTCCAGTAAACTAAGTTCAAAAATATGTATATATAGTACTGAGTGATATGGTAATTTAATTATACAGTGTTCCCTGTTTTCACGGTCGCACGGTATACTAATCTACCATTTGCT